TGTGTGTATATATATGTATATATATTCATATATATATACGTATATATATGAATATATACGTATATATATGTCTATTTATATATATTCATAATGTATATATATATGTATATATATACATATATACATATTATGAGAAGCCAGAGAATATTACATTATATAACAATATAATATATTATAATATAATATATTCTCTGACTTCTCTTAAGTTTCTTCTCTCATCGCTCCTGTTTGATATTTTTTGCGAAATGCTTTTATTGTGAAGCACTTTGTAGTACCTTTCAAAATAAAAGTTAAACTTGATGAATAAACAAAGAATAGATTCAAAGTTGTAAAATGATTTCTGTTCACTTTAAGTAAGTTTGCGTCAGTGTGTGTGTGTGTGTGTGTGTGTGTGTGTGTGTGTGTGGGGAGGGGGGGATGATCCTCCGGAGCGTGTCTCCGCCCGGTGGGGGGGGGGTCCTCGTGACTCTTCTTTCTTTCTCTGTTTTATGTTTCTGGTTTTAACTCTGAAGGTTTGGACTTCTCCTCCTCACAGAGGGGGGGGGGGTGTCCTGCGTGTCGCTCGCGTGGCCGGCCGCCGGCTCTGATTGGCTGTCCGTGATTACCGGCACGCTTCTCTGTGCACCGCGGGCGTCATTATGTTAATGAGCAGCTCCCGCCGGTCATTGTCCCCCCCCTCCCTATATAAGTGGGCTGAGGCCGGTCGTGTGCCAGGCTCACCGGCTCACGGCGCGCACGAGCTCATCCAAAGCAAGAAAGACGCTAAGAGGCGCGTGTCGCTCGTCCTGCTCCAGAACTCTCGAGACCCTCTAACTGACACAGGTAAGTCCTCGCGCGTACCTCCGCTCACCTGCTCATCTCACCTCACCTCACCTCACCTCACCACACCCACCCACACACACACACACACACACACACACACACAGGTCCTGACCGCTGCTCTCTTGTCCCCACAGAACCGATCCGCATCATGGACTCCGTGGACTCCGTGTACTCCGACATCGACAGCAACAGCTGCGACTTCTTCCCGCATACCGACACCGAGGAGGACTCCCGCGGGAGCCCGCGCTCCGTGTCCCCGGAGCCCGAGCAGCCGCAGAAGAAGCGGCGCCGCGGACGCGGACGCAGCGACGGAACCGTGCCCGTGGTAAGGAAGAACCGGCGCGTAAAAGCCAACGACCGGGAGAGGAACCGCATGCACAACCTGAACGACGCGCTGGACACGCTGCGCGAGGTGCTGCCGGACTTCCCGGACGAGACCAAGCTCACCAAGATCGAGACTCTGCGCTTCGCGCACAACTACATCTGGGCTCTGTCGGAGACGATCCGCATCGCGGACCTGCAGACGGGCAAACCGGGAGACGCTCCTCTGCTGCTGAGCTCCGCGCGCCTCGGTAGTGACGCGCAGAGCCCCGGTAGCGACGCGCGCTCCTGGAGCTCCAGCGACTCCTCGTCCTCCTCATCCCCGTCCTACTGCGCCTCCACTCCGGGCAGCCCCGCCAGACCGGAGGACTACGGCTACCGGCCGCAGGACGCTCTGTTCGGCTTCCGCAGCTTCGTGCCGGGCGTCTACTGACCGATGGAGAGACTACCGGAGACTCTTACCGGAGACAGTTTGTGTTGGACTAAGAATCAGCCTTACTCAGCTCATTTCATGTTTAAATGAAGAAGAACTTCATTTCTTCTTCATTTGGTTTCTTTTGATTTTCTGTTTTTACCCAGAAGCCCCTGCACTTTGCCCCCCGTCTCTACTTTCTTGACTCTTGGAGGTGAAAAGTTAATTTTACAATTAGTCTCGTGCTGAAGCAGAACAGAGCGCGTGGAATCGGGTCTGAATGGAGTCCCCCCCCC